CGATTTCCGTCCCCATCATTCCACGATAGAGCACGGTTACAGAGTTTTTAGACACCATTTCCTTCATTCCAGAGAACAATGAGTATTGTTTGGATGTTTCTTGATGTAACCCAGTTTTTGATAGGCACCCGTCGTTTAGGCATTTTTAGCGAGATGCGGCAATGACAAATACAAGCAGGCATTTCACAGGGGTACGTTCTCAGTCCCATCACTTATACAATTTATTCATTTAGGATTATGGAAACTCGATCTTCTTCCGTGCCTCCCTACACTGACTAATCTAATTGAGTATCTATGGGGTGCTTGATGTTCCGCATCACTTGTACCAAAAATTTATGCTTACAAATACATTCTCAGGAAACTGTTAATATAGAATACTTCCCTATATCTTCATTATCCTTTAAACAATTATCCAACTGAGGGTCTATGGGTTGCTTGATAAACCATCAACCCTCTTGCAATAAACATTCACACATTCGGAACTGTTAGCACAGAATAATCCATACTTTTTGATCATCCTTTAAATAAACACTAAGTAGTCTAAATGAGGATGCTGTTCCCTCGTCGATGCTCTTACTACAAACACATTCACGCTTATAAATACATTCTCTTGAAACAGTTAACACAGAATATATCCATATTCTTTTATCAACCTTTTCATATATTTATATTATAATAATTAATCTATTTGAGTATTGAATACGCTACTATCTTCCTTCTCGCACTACAAATTCATGCTAATAAATACCGTCATTCTCAATAAACACTAAACCATAAAAAAAAATATCTATGCTATATACGATAAAACAATCTTATTTCCCCAAAACAGTGGAACAGGAGATCATAATACTGCCGTGCTCAAGCACAGGGCTCATATTGCAATCTTTCAAGCTTTATATATGAAGCCAAAGATGCCGTTCTAAATAGGACTTTTCTCTACATTTAGTACATATGCGGACTTTGGCCCAAAAGTTAGTGGATCAACATGGCTGATTCCTAATCAACTACGAAATGTTCAGATTAGTTATTTCAAGACTTGTTTGCTTGATTGCAATGCCTTGGATTTTCTCATTAGAAATTATGAATATTAATTATACAATAAAAAGTGTATTTTTAAGTCACTAATGACCCATTTGGGTGAGGCATTTTTGATGGCGCGTCCAAAAAGCGTATCGTTATCCTGTCTGGTAGGACGACTGTTAAAATGTAATTAGCAGTTTCTTGTGTTAATTAGCTAGATGGCCAGATAATAAACAACCTACTTTAAATTAGTCTGATGGCCATTTTGACCGAGGGACATTTTTCCAATATTAAATCACTTACCCGTGTTATTTATGGTGTTTTACCTAATTTCAAAGCTACCCTTATCAGGGAACCTTGTCAGATCATAGTATATAACCTGTACACTTAGAAAAGGATAGATCGTCTTAGGTTTATTATTCTACATTGCTTTTTTCCTGAGCCAATTATTTCAAGACCATTTTTGGAACAAGTTTGGGAAGCCCTGCTGAGTAAACATGCAATTTCTCCTAACCAAGAAGGAAATGTATGGTTATTTCACGGTTAACCGGATTTCGTCGATTCCATAGACATTTTAAAATACTAGGTGTAATAGAAAACAACCCGTGTAACTCTGCCAAAATTTCAGTACATAAATGATCATTATCAGATCCCTCTTCTCACGAACAAAGAAAAGCTGAAATCTGAGTAGCCACTATCAAGTCTATGTAGGCTGATAAAAAGCCTAATACCTGTATTGTGAGCATAGTAGTCCCGTTTTGATGAACCTAACATATGGTTAAAAAGAGCCACTTTACGACATACACCATGATCAGTCTCTCTTCATTACTATCTTAAGGTCACTAATCACCACACATTATCTTAAGGCTTTTAACCAAATCCCAAAACTTTTTTAAGGGGATCTGTGTCGTTCAGGCCTTGACTTTTCCGTTTATAGGAAAAAGAGTCTCATCCTGCATAGATGGACCAACGGAGGATACGTTCCGTTGTTTCTTTTTCTTCCTGGTATGTGTAAAAAGACTTTTTTCTATTGATCCGAGTCTATGTTTATGCCACTAGAGTTTGCAGTGTTAATCAGTACTTTCTTAGTTCACGTCCTAGGTTTAGCAGTTCTGCCTTAGTTTTTGCTACGTTCCTATAATGATCTCAGTCGACTTTTGACAAATAGTACACTTTATGATGTTTAAACAAGTTAAAAAGAGAAGATAATTTGCATACAATGCTCTGAGAGGGTGGTTTACAAAAAGAGATCTAATCAAAGCCCGGCGATGGTGTTAAAAACAAAATATATCCTTAAATACAAGGGGAGTCATTAAGATTGTATGGGAGCGGGGAAAAGAAGTTAGATCGAGCCGTCGGGGGAGAAATCTGTTGCTTTACTGCTCTAATCAGAGCTCTTAATGTTTAAATAGCCCTAAAGGGCTTAAGAGGGGTAAGTTTGAGATATAGATTTCTCATCCAATTTAGCTGTAGAAGCTGTGAAGGGCGGCCACCCCTTCTCTCAAGGGCCATCCAACGAAACAATTACTTTATTATGGGGTGGGGCGCCCTTTCAACAACCCTCTAACAGAGAACCCTTACCTTTTCTTCTGCCTGTTTTTCGAGTGGGAAGCTCGTGTCTAGTGTTTCTAGGAGAGGTGCTGACATAAATTTTTTCTCTAATTCTTTAATTGTTATTTATTTAATATTATTTATTAGTTATACAATATATAAGTATGTTTATAGCACATTCAATATTTAATAAAGCTTAAGTTGGTTAAAAGAATCATAATGGTTAACGACTTACCCTAATAAATAGGCACAAAAAAAATAAATAAACAAATAAATAAATAAAAATTATATATAACCAGACAGAAAATATTAAGATAACATAATTATTCAAAAATATTGGTTTATGGTTCCTTATGGTAATGAGAGTATGAGTATATGTAATAATATACAGGATAGTTAATATTTTCACACTACAAGAAAAACATGAAAATATTAAATTAAAATTAAAAATTAATTAATTTTTAATATAAAAGCAAATTTGAGATTTTTTAACTTTAAAATAATTGGCCTCTTGAAAACCACAATTTATCACGTTTCTAAAATTAAAATTTATTTTTTATTAGGTTTCGTGGTCCGCATGACCAAATAAATTCTTTTCAATTAATTAAGGTTTTGGTTGAGATAAAAAGTCAGTGTCACGAGCGGGATTCGAACTCACGACCTTCGGATAAATACGCTGCTGCTCTACCACTTCTTTCTATCGTGACTTCGATCTCAACCAAAAACTTTAATTAATTGAAAAGATTAAAATTTATATAGTTTTTTATTTTTAACTGAAATTATTTTTCTCTTATAGGTTTTTAAGAGCTCAATTATTTTATATTAAAAAAAAACATTAAAAGAGAATTTATATTTTCAATTTTACATATTTTTATTTAATTGTAATTATTTTTCATATGGTCTTTTAAACGCCCAATTATTTTTTATTTAAAAAAATCTCAAATATATAAATTATATACGATTTTAATTCCAAACAAACCCACGTTTGCACCAAACTAACCCTTTTTAATTTCAAGTTAACTTTTCAACTTCTTATAAAGCTTTTTTAAAATTTTATATTAACCTGTCATTAAGAGATGGTATGAAATATTAGCAGATAAAATAAAATTCCGGCATATTTTAACATTTTTTTAAATATAAAATAATTATGCCCTTAAAAACCATAAGAAATCTAATTACAATTAAAATTAAACATTGTATACAATATAAAAATAAAGGATTCTTCTTTTAATATGAGGAATGTGAAAGATTGTGGAAGAGTCCAATTATGTTATAATTAAAAACCAATCCTAAATTAACCCTTAATTAGTTACGCTTGATATAACATTTTTAGTTGATTAAGAAGAAGAAATTGTTGTTATGTTTAATTACGTATATATAATTTTTAGTTTTTTGCAAGGCTTTTATGAAATTTTATTCTGGTTCTATGCAATTTTATTTCATTTTTATATAGTCGGTTAAGAACCCACTATATTTTAAAATAAAAAGATTCTTATACGTTCAGATTTTTTTTTAAATTAAGTTTTTGCACCAAATCTTTTCAATTCAAATTGAACTATTTTAGTTATATTTTTTAATATAAAATATACCATCTCCTTGGAAATTGACGTTTTTGCACCAAATCTTTCAAAATCAAATTGAACTATTTTATTTATATTTTTGTAATATAAAATATACCACCTCCTTTGAAATTGAAGTTTTTACACCAAATCTTTTAAAATCAAATGTTTATATTTTTTTAATTTAAAATATACCATAGTTTGGTATACTGTAATCCTAGGTTTTTGGTTTTAAAGAAATGATTAATTTTAATTTAAATAGGACTAATTTGAAATTAAAAAGAGCTCCTTTGTAATAAAAAAGTTTATATTGAAATTAAAAACTCCTCATTTGTTGCAAAAAAGGTTAATTTGAAATAAAAAGGGGTTTATGACGTAGTATGGGAGTATATTAAAATTAAAAAAATTTTAATTTGATGCAAAAAATTGTTAAATTGAAATTAAAAGGGGTTTATTGGGCTGGAAATAGGTCTAATTTGATGGAAAAAAAGGTATAATTGTTAGTTGTTATTTTCATAATTCGCCTTAAGTAAAAAGGTTCCATCGCATAATGTTATCAAGTATCGCGTTTTTCACGAAAAAAAATCGTGATTCCGACATTGTAAAACTCGCGAGGTTGCGCGGAGTGACACGCGAGAGGGCCGACCAATTTTACATTTTTTTTCAAACACGAATGAATTAATTCGGTGATTTATCCGGTGACACGAATCGTCCGATATGTTATTTTCCGTGATGGCAGGTTTAAAATCCGCCGGCCAAAATCTAATACCACGGAGGAATGTCCAACGGATTTCTATTGTTCCTCGTTTAATCGAGCACCTGTTATTTGTTAGGTGAAATTTAATCAACCACTCTTATCTTCTTTTTCAGGTAGCAGTATCGCCCGGAGGGAGTACAGGTGGTGCCGTATCACCCACACCGGGCAGCCCCTGCTGCGACGGCGGAAGACCCGTCCTGTCCGACCCCGTCTCCGGGCAGACGGTCTGCTCTTGCCAGTACGACACGACAGCGAGGCTGGCACTTTCTTCCTATCCTAGGCCGCCCGTGTATTCAGCACACTACCCATCCACAGACCAGAATCCGTACCCCAGTATAGACAGTTCGGCCTTCTACTCGCCCTTGGTAAGTACTCGACTTATTTTTACTAATTTAGATCGTACCTTTTTACTTTTAAAACTATGGAGTTTTTTTAATGTATGAATTCGACATTTTATTTCTGCTCTTTTAAAGAGCTATCGTCACTAGGAACAAATTATAGAATGAGATATCTCTTAGCCGTTAGTTTGATAATTTTTTATTATATCTTTAAGGATAGGTAGTGACCAATACCGATAGGGAAAGCAAAGTAGTATTAATCAATAAATAAGGATAATTAGTTGTCGTTTTTCGGATAAACCGCTGATTTCTCCTTATTTTTTTGTTTTACTTCATCACTATTGGATGGATTTTAATTTTATTGGGTTCAGTGACTGTTAGTTAATGATTATTTGGAGATGGTGAGATCAGGACTCAAAGAGTTTGATTTCGGTGTAGATGTGTCATTCTTCTGTGTCGTGGGGCACTCTCAACACGGAAAACAAACACTTTGAACACTGAAGATGATCTCAATAAAGATCGAAACGTCGCACGATAAAGAAAATGTTTTTCTAAAACCTACGTCACACCAGACCGCGTCTCACCATCTCCAAATAATCTTTAATTTAATATGTGTTTCCTTTTCAGGAGAGTCGGTTCTCTCTGTTTAAGCAGAATTCTAAAAAAAAATTCTTATTTAAAAAATTTTTAAGATCAGGAGGGCAAAAAAGTTGCACTTTTTCGGTGTCCTTTTCTTTAAACTTATTGGGTCCGTTTCAACCTATTTTTTTCTTGGTTTATAACGAATTCACATTCTCATAGGGAGAAAGAGGGAGATAAAGAGAAGGAAAGACAGACTAAGAGAGATTGGGAGAGAGAGGGAGAGAGAGAGAGAGATTAAGGAAACGAGAGTAAGCAAGGGAGAGAAAGAGAAAGAGAAGGAGAGAGACAAATAAATAAAGGAGAGAGAGAAAGAAAGGGACTGAAAGAAAAAATTAGAAAGTTAGTATAAAAGGCATAATTAAATGAACAGGGTATAAATATAAATAGTGAGATATGAAAGAGAAATAACTAGATAGATATACAGGAGAGAGAGAGAGAGAGAGAGAGAGAGAGAGAGAGAGAGAGAGAACGAAAGAAATAGTACAGTGGAGAGAGTCGGGAATATCAAGATATTCAGATAGATAGATAGATAGCTAGACAGACAGATACCTAGATAGATGGATATATAGGTATATGGAAATATAGAGAATGATAGACAGCGTTTGATACAAAGAGAGACGGTCGGTTTGACCAGAATGCTGAAAATTCGAACTCGTGAAGCATTATGCTTGTCGTGTAACAATTTTAAGATCAAGCATGCTTACCAAGTATCTAATATCACAAGAAATGTTGCCCAATGGTCAGATGTGGCGGTTGGTTACCCGTGAAATGATTTTCAGGCCGACACCTTCCACCTCGGTGGAGCGTTTTGAAATTGAAGCGCTTAACAGTCGACTTGTCTTCCAAAAAGACCACCTCATCCGCCACCGATAAAAACTCCATCCGATACTAGTTGAACGGAAAGACAGCAAAAACTAGCAATCCTCGTTTTCTGGACCGGTTCCTACCCTGGACCGTTCTACTACCCGCTGGGATTATCTCCGTTTCAATGCTTAATACAAAAATCGAGCGGCCAATAACGACGGGTTAGTCGGTGATTAATATCAACACGCGATTGTCGCAGGGAAAAATCGTCAGTTCTCTTTCAACCTCGGACTGTTTATTAAATCACACGTGTCAATGGTAATGTCAATAGAAACGGTTGACAAGACTGGTCCGCACAAAAACACGCGAGGACCTAAACAGGAATGTGCAGCGTGCATTCCGATGCCTTTTTTCTATCATGTTGAACGGAGTTAGCCAAGCCATGACAAACGTCGAACTCAGTTTTAATTCGAGCTTATCTGTTGTATTAAAACACTTCTCCCACGTTGTTTTCACAACATATAATTTGTTTTAGATTAATTAAGCCAATGAAAGTATCGGTTCAAAGTATCTTGCAAATGATGAACGAGATCATATGCACAATGTTGGCCTGGGATGGCGCGATAGTCATGCGCTCTTCACATGGCCTGCGCCTAAATTTGTTTACACTGATGAAGCCATCGGACAAGGGACATCGTTTTATACGACATGACATGAAATATTTTAATTTCTGATTGGTCGTTCCTCCCTGTAGAGATTCCCTGATTATAATCTCACTGAGCTAACATAGTACAATTTCTACAAATGCTTGCCGTATGTTCGACCCGATCGAATGTATGCTATATATTTCTAGTTTTTGGTTTGCCAAATCAAACCCCGAGTTTTCGCAACAAGTCCATTTGGAATTTAGGGCCGATGAGATTCGAACCCGTGACCCTTACACTTAAGCGTCGCTGTGTGTCTTAACCTTTGCGGCATCTGGCTTCCCTAAACAATTCTAATTTCATGGAAACTTTAAATTTTAAAGCATTGGGAAGTTTTTTCTTGGTGTCTGGGTGACGATGAAATCTGTACGTCCATCGTTTTCAATTAGTTTAAGCATTTCCCTTCAATGAAATCTGAAGGCCTAAAGAATCACTCACTCCGGAATTATGGTGGTCCGGTTTTATCCGACCCGCCGGCAAAGTTTGCTTTTCTAATTGACTGTTGACTGGGTACTCAATATTCCACCATACGCTCTTTCTCACTCAAACATACACGCTAATAGATACAATCACTCTCCATATAATAAAACGAGATGTATATCAAATACTATAAACATCCTTGTTTTCTCTAAAAATCAAAACAGCGGACCCAAGTAGGCTCAAGCATATCGGATGACGTTCCTCGTCTCCCTATATAGAGCCAAACATAGAAAACCTTCAATTAAGTGGTATTGAGGAACCTTTCTAACGTCTTAATCCGTGTGTCAACCTCATATGACCAGTTCTGAGTCGGGTTAAGATGATCCTTATTCTGCAGTTTATTCTCTGAGGCCCACCAATGGACTGTGCTCTTCACGCATTGTTGTCAGACGACCAACTCCACTGACGTTGACACCTTTTATTTACGACATTCTTTACTGTAGTAAGGTCTGGAGGGTGAGCCGTCCAGGGACCGTCTTTCGCCTTTAATTAGTTTTATTATCTCTTTGACCCTTTCATACTACACATTCAAGCTGATAAATATATTCACTGTCAATATGCACCGAAGGTAAACATAGAACGAGATGTCGTTTTCTGTTTTATCCAATAATCGGAACAACGAAAATTTTCCCTACCGTTCTCAAGCATAATTCACTCGGGTGTCATTCCTACACGCTCCCTATATGTAGCCAAGCAGTGACAATCTTCGATTGACTGGCATTGAGTGCCCTTTCTCTACATGCCGTACTGATACGGTTTTCTCCGTTTGTTAACCGCGTATCTTCTGAGATTTTGACTCTTTGGTGGCCACCTATCGCTCAAGAGCTTCTCAAACGTCCACTGATGCTGCCATCTTTTTTTTACAATATTCTTTATTGCTCAGTAAAATCTGAAGGATGAACCTATAATTTGAACTTATTCTTTAAAAAAAGTATTGACCTAACCAATGAGGAGAGGTAAACTATCGAACTTACAATTTAAAAAATGCACGATTTTCAATGAGGTTTATTTTGGTCGGATGCGTGCACTTAAAAACTTGTTTTAAATTATAATGTTGAAGTACTTGTCATTCGCCATCGAATATATTTTTAAATATTAATATAATTTCCTTTGGGAATCATCGGAATTCGGAATAATGTGCAAATGGAATTAAATGGATGTGTTAAAACTGCATTAGGGGAGAGTGAAATGCTGTCAGCGATGAACATTTGACAACTGCGGGGGAGAGGGATAATGATCGATTACCGCCCTGCAGGACGGAGGTTTTCAACTCTGAAATAAATACTTCAAACGCCATTACGAGGTTGTTAAACCAGTCAAAAATCCAAAGTCTAATAAGAAGGCTGTACTTTTTCAAACAGGCCTGTTTACTTCGTGCAATGTCCAATTAGGGGAAGTGGATTTGTACCCTCGCGCGCCGACGCGTTTTCCGTTTTAATGGCTATTAAATGGCGCTGGGGAAGAGGCAAATAAGGATTTGATACAATTTCATGCTTGAGTTTCCTTCACCCCCGTTGGAACTGATTGTTGGAAACACATCGATTTCACATCCAACCCCCTTTCAACCGAGGCGTGATACGCTCTACTGCATTACAGCCCCCTAAGTGGTTCCATTCCCATCCCGGGACTCAATTAACCTGAGACCTTTACGGCCAATTGTAAATTTCAATATACAACCGAAAGCGCATCTGAATTACCTAATGCAATAAAGGCCGGGGAAGGGGGCAGAGTTTATTTAGGGCTCTTTCTACCCTCTTTTGTTTTTCTTTCCTGATAGGCGCTTATCTTCTGGCTACCGCTCCTTCATTAAAGGACACGCATACGACGAATTAAGCTGATATCGCCGTGACTTTTTTCAACCGGTGCATGAGTATACATGTACTTTCTTTATTTCCTTTATTCAAAATTGTAACACAAAAAAATCATACTCCCCCCCCAAAAAAAGATAGAAAATAAATCAGTTGATTATTATAAAAAAGTTATTTTATACTTGCCCACATGGACCAGGCTTCAAGTCTCAAGTTCATAACGTATCAGTTAAAAACTAATTAATCTTACAACAAATATAATTAAATTGATGAAAAACAGAAGTATAAGTAAACACATTTATTAAATATTTAAAAAAAAAATAATGGGGTCGTCCTTGGCCGCAACGGTTTAAGCGTTGACACGGCGCCCATCAATGTCAGGTAAAGGTCCCGGGTTCGAATCCAGCGGCACAAACACCGGTATCCCGAGGGTTGATATAATCTCTGCTGTTGCGAACCCTTGTTAAAAAAAGTTTCTGTTATGTACAATACTGATTTACGAAGGGTTACAAATTTATTCATTAAGAAAATAAAACCCTACGGTCTATAGGCAGTGACGTGCGATACTAATCGATATGAGTAAAGTATC